TGACTTTCGAGACATACTGTACCAGTTGTTCACTTATGCTCTCTGTAAGGAACACAATCATTTTCTCTTGATCTTATACTGTATTTTGGGTACATGAACTGACAGAGTTTTGCGTTTCCAGCTAAAGGTAAATGCTTACTACTACTTTTGTAGCCTTGAGTGCATAACCAATATTCATTAAGAACAATATTCTTGATTTATTTTTATTTGAATCAAGTATTGTGCTGTTTTGCTGTCATGCAGAATGAGATACTGTACAAAAACAATCAGAAATGACTAAGTAGTCACTTCAACAGGTTTTCATTGCATGCTGTGAGGAGAAAGTATCATGCCTTCTACAAGCTCCAAAGATTCAGTCGTTCATTTATTTAATCTTATTTAAAAAATTGTCACAACAATAATGTTAAACCTTAGAATGCAATCCTTTGAGCACATCCGTACTCTGGTCTCTTTGCTTCACTGAAATATCTAAAAGGCTAGAAAAATGATATGGGGCAAGTAAAGCCTCAGGCCCATCAATGTCCTTATACCACGGTGGCATTTAATTATGTATAGTACAATATAAATAGTAATAGATCTGCTTAAAAATGAAGGTACATGTGGACGGATGGCTATTTATATCAAGTTTTTAGATTTTTTGTAAATAAAGGAAAATTATTGTATATGGAGAGAATGGTGCACTATGTTAGTTTCCAAGCTTTGATGTTTGGTCTTTATTTACCAGATGTTGCATTATACTGATCTTTATAAACCAAAACAATGATTTGTTCCTTCATCTTTTTTTTACTCTCCTTTATGCTACAGTGTGACTTGAGATTAAATATTAATTAAAACTAATAACTATTCCTTTAATAATTTCTTAAAGAACTTCTAGTGCAAAACATAAAGAAAATACAGGTATATAAACCATGCACAGAACTCAAATAGTAATAATAACTGGCTTTAAAAAAGGATTTTTTTCAGTTTTTAAATGAACTTACAGTCTTTATAAACACAAAGAAATTGACTACAGGAGTTAGAACCTTCATTCTCATACACAAAAACACAGTGTAAGTAGCCTTTCCTTAGCATGTATAAACAAAAACCTGATATTTTCTTAATGGCTGTGAAGTAAACAAATTTTCTTTCCACACCAAAGTCTAGATATTGATATAGATCAGAATAGCAATAATGATTTCACTGCAGTCTACTGCAGCTCTCAATATCAGTGCCCATACCGGCTTCATACCTAACTTTATACAAAACAAAGTTACATACTATCCATAACTGCCAAAAACAATTACATTTGCAATTTAGCAATCATCCCATGCACAAAATGACTTTTGAAATATCCAGAATAGTGGTAATGCACAGCAGTGCATTAGCAGAATAAAGCCCCTCATTTCTTTGATCAAAATGGGCAAATACCATCTAGTCCAAGCAATTTGGTTGAAATGATCTATTTTTACACTTCATGCTCTGATTTGTGTATATATTTTTTAATCAGCCCCTTTTACCTGTGTCATATCATTAACTTTGTTAATACCTGTGTAATCATTTATATCTCTAAGACACTTTATTTGTCTTAGTGATCTTTTGTTACTGTAAAACTGAAAACGGCTATTGGCATTTGTTTTGGATTGCATTGCAGGTTTTCATTCTGTCTCTCTTTGCTCGTGTAATTGTATTTTTCACTTTGCAGTTAAATATACAGTCTCTGATTTGCCTTATGCAGGCGTCACACTACATGACTTGACACGACTTTTAGTCGGAGAGCATGTCAAATTTAACGACTGCAGTTGCTGAATCTTGCTACCCTTTCTGTCCTAGAGGGTACCAAATTATACAACTAGAAATCACAGGGGGGGACTAATTACACGATTTCCTCACGGCCTCATCACGGCTCCAAGTCTCGAATGGTGTTGTAAAAGTACCACAAATCTTTTGATTCTACTATTAAGTTTTTTATGTATATCCATTTACATATATATGACACTTTCAAATTTCTTTCAGTTTTTCTTCATAAACCATTACTTTAGACTCTGCCCATCTAATTCAAAGACCTCTAAAGTGATCATGATCTGGTCAAAATTTTCCTGTTTGTCTTGCATCATTGTTACACAAGATGGGTCATCTTAAAATGTCAGATCAATGCAATCATGTTCCCTTGCTGGTGCTCTGAGAAACTGGGTATCAATTTAAATCTAATTATATGTTCTCCCAATCAGTCTATCTCAGTTTATGTGAGAAAAATTGAAATCCCTCAAAAAATGATCCCACCCTTGCTCCATGCAATGTGATTGTTCTATATCCTCTTGATTAGTAAAGATTAAGAAGCACTTACACAATTTAATGCCTCTATATCATTTTTAATAAAAGACATCACCACTCTGACCTCGTCTTTTATTCATGAATATTCTACACCCAATACACAGCTAAATATTAAATTAGTTTTTGCACCAAGATTTCAAGGCACTTGTGTTAGCAATGCAGCTAACCTGCTAACCTAAGCAACAATGACTATAATATGCAATAAACCAGTTTAATAGTTTCACACAAAACAAAATAAAAAAAAACTCAAATCCAATGTATTCTTAGCAAGATACAAGCACACCTGTAGCCCAGATTAATGCATTTTTTTCTTTGTATGTACAGATCTAGCCACTCAGAAAGCGTCAGGGATACTGCAGTAGTTTGTGGTTGAGTGGTTGAGCGACTGCGCGAGTCTGCGGTAGATTGCGGAAGTCCGCAGCATTTTCGATATTTTCAGAAATGTGACTACAGTTCTTTGTAAAACCACCAGGTGGAGCTGTGATAGCTTAACGGGACATGTAGAGCATTTCGGCTGTTACCAGAAAACGCATGGTTTTGAATCCTGGTCTATGCTGAGGGAAAATCTTTTTCTACTTTTACAACTTAAGCTGTACACTGTTTAGACTATTAATAATTGTAAACTGTCATTATGCTGTGCCATTTTCAGCTTTACATTAACAGAGAGAAAATCCAAAGGGTGCAACTGCAACTGGTAATTGTAACAAATTGTCACGTTTCACTTCCTTGCGTAACAATCATGATGTTCTCATCCAAACAGGTTTGATTTTTTTTTATTTAGAAACCGTGATCTTAACATGCAGATGTTTTGAGTTAACAGCTTCAGATTTAAAAGGTTATTGATAATGTTGCAGTTGCACCCTTTGCAATGGCTGGATAGTTAAAGTTCCCAATTGCTTTGTCAGTCTGTCCGTGGGGAGAGGGCGGGGCTCTCCTTGACATCTGACACTCCTCCATACGCTTAAGTGAAAAATTCATAAAAATGTCAATGTTAACGTCGTATTTATAATTGTTTGAAACTAAAAATGGTTGTAAAGGTCTCTAAAACCTTCTCAGTCAAGAATGAGAATTCACATAGAAAGCCGTGTCAGCATGCGTAGGCTGCAAAAGATCAGCTACAGAGGGAAGAAAATGCTTTTACTTATTTTTTTATGTATTTTAAAGTCATGCAAGTGTAAATCCACCTATCTATTTTCTAACCACTTTATCCAGGACAGGTAACAGTTTAACCAATATTATTTGGTAACCTTTTTAACGATTTTGACAGACTTCAGAATGCTTCGACTGATGCTTAAAAATGTAACATAATGCATACTGTGGTAAAAGAGCTACTGAGCACAGAACATCTTTCTGCCTGTGAAAAAATGTGCACAAGTAGTTTATTCTTATCTGTGTGAAAACAGGAAATACAGCGGGAGTTTCAGAAATTAAAAAGAGGTCTGGAACACCCTGTCTCAAAAATAGATGTTTAATAAATTGAAGGCTGTGATAAAATCACCCCAAACAAAACAGAATTTTAAAATATAAGCAGTTTGAAATTATTAGTTATTAATAAATCACCTAACTTCGAACATGTTGTGATATTCAGAAATACCAAAAAAGTCAATATAGTGTTCATAATATTTACTATTTTCGTTTTTCAAAGAAATTTGAATATGATAAAGGATAACTCATGCCAGGAGCTGGGTTCGGACCCCCAACCTCCAGCATGTGAGTCACATGCCAAAGCCATTATGCCAATGCACCGCTTAACAACTTAAGCTATAACTAAAAAGGCAGGCAAAATGTTTTTAATTAATCATGGGTGAATGAGTCCAATTTATGCAGATGTTTACAAAGAAAGTGGACTACGGTAATACTTTCAGCTATATGAAAAAAAAGTCCATATATATCGTTATTAATTTCTTTAGATATGCAATTCCATATTATATCCCCTATTAATCAAATTATAAAACAAACACTTTTTTTACTGCGATAGCAAGCACACGTATTCATAGAAAAGGTTAAAACATTATAACCTTTAATAAAGTATATAAACTTAATATAGTCAGAAGGAGTATGTAAAAACTTTTCTAAATTAACCACAGTAAGTAACCAAATGTTGTGTATTTTTATTTAAACGATCTCTACCGGCTATATACAGTTTGAAAATATATTTGTATTCCTAAATTAATATTGTTTATGATGTTCAGAGTTGATATGCTCCTCTTATTTTTGTGCTCAGCTACCGCAATTTCCCTTTAGTTGTAAAATTCCATTATAATATCTAATATTAAATGAATTTAAACATGCACAGTAAAGAGATTAAATGAAGCAATTGTTTCACTATAAATCCACGCTATTTTGCAAATAATTTCTGACAGTACTGGGTTTTACCACACATTTTGAATGGCTGCATCTGTGAATGACCAAGCACAACAACACAATAGCAGTTAAAAAAATTTAACCCATAACTTTCAGCCGATGTTCATCTTGGTTTCATTCTTAATTTTTATGTTTCAGCACTGCTTTTAATATTAAATACGCTTATTATTATTCCAATGTCTTGTTCACATTACCACACAATGTATTCTTCAAATATGTCTTGAGATAAGATAAGCCTGCAGAGAATTTTTCCCTTTACTAAGCTCAAGATAAAAAAAAACACTTTTCAACAGCTGATAAGAGGTGTTAACTTTAGCTGAACCTACTTTATTGATGTGTCTTATCTGCTCCAGAGCCAGTGTCTTAAGCTGTTCATCTTTGCTCTCCAGCATAAGTTTCAGAGCAGGCAGGTAAAGATGGTGGTGATCCAGTAGCTGGGATGATATGTGTCTAATACACTGTAGGGGAAACAGCTGTGTTACTAAAGCAAATAAAAATAATTATGAAAAATAAGTGATATTGTGGTTGTGTAGCTTAGGGCTAACATTCTGAGAACATTACAAAGAAGAGTAACACAGTAGCAATATAAGAGCAGAGAGAAAACACAACGTTTCATTTTCTCTCTTCAGCATGGAATAAACCTATTACTTGTTCCTTTGCATACTACACATGCTGATGCAGCTACCCACCTAAACTACAGTAGCAATATGCAGTATATACCTGTTACATTATTTAAGCCTCTGTATTAAAATACACTATACTAATCTCTGACTTTATCATGTTTAGTTTATAGTTACATCAAAACATATTTATTTCTCTTAAACTCTTATGTAATTCTTGTACAGAGTAGACAAATTTAATTTAATCAGGTATGCTTCTGAAAATGCAGAATCAGAAACATCATTCCATAAAGGAATTACTGAAGCATAATCTCAATGGAAAGGCATGCGAAAATAACTAAAGCAAGTCATACGCAGCCATTTGCTTTAAATTTAAGACTATCCATCTGCTGGGAGACAAAAACCATGGTGAGAATAGATGGCAACCTAGTGAGCTTAATTTTCACATTTCACTGCTAGTTTGAAGCTTCCAACTCTGTGTGACAAAAGCTATTGCTTTAAGCAGGAACTGTGGATTTTATTTATACTGTGATACACAAGCTTGACAGAACAGTGAAAGACTAAAATTTAGAGGCATACTCAAGGAGAACGAAAAATGCAAAACAGGCCAAACATGATAAGAACATTTGTCCTCAGGAGGACAAAGACAAGAAAGTGCTGAGATAATAAATAGCTAACATAACCTACTTTGTGTTTGATATGCTCCACTAGTTTTAATTTAACCAAAATGAATTAGTGGCATTCTGTACATCATAAAACAATGAATAACTTTATATGTAAAAAGCTGCCTCGAATATAATCTCGAGCACAAAATTATTTATTTTTTCCTATACATATCCTATACATACGTATGTTTATTTATAGATATTTTAGCATTTCAGCCCATGTTTATAGAATTATATAGATATATTTAATTACAACACAGAAACATTCAGCAGAACAAAGAACAACAGATCCAACCTACCTGAATGGGCAACATGTGCTTTGTGTTATAGACAGACCGACACATACTCAGCACTTCGTTATCCATCTCTCTTTGCTTCCCAGAGGCACTGTTTGACATTATAGCAGAAGCCAGTTTCACCCAAGGGTTTTCCACAGAATTTAATCTATAAAACAATACATAACAGTAAAAAAAACAACATGAAAATATAGTCAACTGTGGACAGAGCAGGACAAAAAGAGTAAAAAAAAAACTAACAATAACATTAATAATAAAAACATTCAGTAATATTATTCAGATAAGTATACACTATCTTGCAGTCTTAGTCATAACTTTGAATTATACAGTAACATACATACAGTAACTAAAATGTGATATACAGTATGCATGTGTACATCAATGGCTTAATAAAAAAACGCTATACTATCCAGTATGTACATATACAGTATATATGTAGAAAAGGCTCAACTGTGACCATACTCATTCATATTTTGCACACTAGCTTCCATACATATTTTAAGAGAACTTGTCCTTCATCCAAGAAGACTGAGACAACTGGAGATCTCATTCTTCTATAGTTTTCAACTGTCAGAACAGCTGTTGAAATATGCTATTTTCTTCTGCCTTTTCTGCTTTGAACACTTGGTTGCCAGTACATATTGAGTATAAAAGGATGCAGAACTCTTAACAGGCCTATAAAGTAAATGAAGTGGCTTCAGGATAGAGGGAGTCCTTTGATACATCACTCCAATGAAGCTGGTCCTATATACATTAATGTCCAGGTAATGTGACAAGACAAGACAAGATAGGGTGGATAGTGAAAGCCCCAAAAGATAAAAATAAATGGTATGGATTGGTTATCATATTTTAAAGCAATATTTGTGGCATGATCTGAAGAAAGTAGATGGCTATTGCAGACTGTACAACCTTGAAGAAATTATGAGGTTTTAACAGAGGAGTAAATAGTTTCCCCTTTAATACTTTAAGAACCTAGGCAATGGCTACAGGAAGCACCAAATCCAATTTATCAATGTCAAAGGAGCTTTCACAAAAGACTGACTGCTGTATGAATATGAATACATTTGAATAATAACCATATTAAATATTACATTTTAATGTTAAAACTATATATAGCTATTTTTGACAGACTATAGAAACACTGATAATGATCCCAAGAGATCAAAAGAATCCAAGAAGATGACAAGAAGATTTAAAAAAAAGCAGGAGCAAAAAAGAAAGAGGTTAGCTGAAAATTAATATTAGGGAAATCTTGCTTTTGCTTAGCAAAGGTTTAGAAAAGATTATACAATACTCTGTATACACCACTATACAATACTTTAATTATACAATAATTAATATCTTGGATGTGGTCTGCTCCTCTGTATCCTATCTAATTGTGCTGCTCTTCTCCTCCAGAATGTTGAAACCAAGTAACACAAAGGAAGAAGGCTCTACTGTAACAAAGACCCTTTTCTTTTTCATCAGTTTAAGTTCATGGTTGAATGAAACTGTGTCATACAAAATTGTAGAACTGGTTGCATAAGCATAGACAGACCATGGCAAACTTATTTGAAACACATTTGATTTAAATGATGCACAGAGGAGGTTTTATACTGATAAAAAGGTAGAGAAGGTAGGGATAATACAGAGTCTACTGTTGTTCATTAGATTACTTATAAATCATCTAACCATCCGTTATCTGACCTCTTTTTCCAATGCAGGGTCACTGAAGAGACAGAGCCTGTCCCGGCAAGCAACATACACAAGGCAGTATATACTGTACCCTCGATGGGATGCCAGTCTATCACAAGGCTAATACATTATTTTTTGTCTTATTTATATTATAATGCATTTAAAAAGTTTCTTAGAAAAGTGGTCAACTCTATGTAATTTATATCTAATATACCTTGAAAAATGTACGTGTGCAAATTGTGACGTGACACACAGTGTAAAGCAACTTTATTCACATATTTGTAGAAAAGCCAGTTTATACAATAAATTGGGAACACTTTAATGATCTTTCGGCGGACCTCACTTTGTTTTTGCAACCTCAAGATAAAAATAAAAACAGGTTGACACAAAGTAATGCATTAACATTACATGGGGCATTTAAACAGAAAAAAATAGGGAACATCAAGTGAGAATACTTCATAAATCATATATTTAGAAAAAAACATCATTTTCTGAGAATAAAGGCTTTTTTAATTTCAGATCTCGCAGCTTTACACAAAGTGAGATATGCAGTGACAGTTGCCTGAAGCAGCCAGTTTAAATCAAAAACATTACTGCACACAATGAATTTTAACTAACATTCACCACTGTAGAACTGCATTTCATTTTAATGCAGAATATCATTTACTTCAACAGTATTCCTTGCAAGCCTAAATGTTGATATGCAAAATAAAACAGCAACTGAAAGCAGAAGTACTAAGGATTTTCATGAACAAAAACTTGAATACATTTCACGCAAAAAATCAACACACAATTCAAAAACATAAGTGAATTTTCTTTTACAAACTCAATCCATAAAATACATCAGTACATAAAAACCAAATGCTTTTTTATTATTTTTATAAACAAATATACGTACATGTAATAATTAAAATTTTAATAAACTACAAATAACTACATTAACATTTCAAGAACTACTAAACTGATCCATAGTCATATAAAAAAACGTACAAAGTAGGACTCTTTACAGATAATAAAGATTTATAGCCTTTATATTAAATGTACAACTAATATTGAGAAGACCACTATATATCATCAATGGGTATTACAGTAGCTATAAAAAGTATTCGCCCGCTTTGGCATTTTTCACATTTTATTTTCTTACATCATGGAAACAAAATTGATTTATTTAGGAATTCTTATCACAGCTCAACACAAAATACTCTGTAATGTCAAATAAAAAAACAACAACTCTGAAGTTCTGCCTTAATTACAAATAAAAAAAAACAGTAATTAACTACATAGGTTTTCACCCCTCTCGTTTTAATTCTTGGTAGAAACACCTTTAGCTGCAATTACAGCTGTAAGTCTATTTGGGTAAGTCTCTACAAACTTTGGCCACCGTAATTTTTCCCCATTTTTTTCCCCAATTTTGCTCATGGTCTGTCAGGTTGGATGGGGACTGTTGGTGATTTTTGGACCATTTTTGTGTTTTAAGCCACTCCAATGTGGCTTTTACTGTATGTTTTGGGTCATTGTCCTGCTGGAATATAAATCCTAAGTCTCTTGCAGACTGCAGCAGGTTTTACAACAAGATTTGTCTATATCGTGATCCATCCATTTTGCCTTCTGTTTTGACAAGTTTTCCAGTCTCTGAAGCACAGAAGCATCACCATAGCATTATTCTCGTGCCCCCATGTTTTACGGTAGGGGTAGTGTTCTAATGATGATGCGCAGTGTTAGTCTTGTACCAAACAATCAAATAGTTTAATCTTGGCATCATAAGACCATAGAATCTTCCTCCACTTGGTTCTTCCACATGCCTTTTGCAGGCAAACTGTAGTTGAGATTTCATGTGAGTTTTCTTCAACAATGGTTTTCTTTTTGCCACCCTCCCATAAAGAGCATATCTGTGAAGTGCCCGGGCTATTATTGTCCCATGACGTTTCTCGCTACCATGGAAGACTGTAACTCTGTCAAAATTGCTGTGGGCCTGCTGGTAGCTTCCCTAACAAATGCCTTTTCGCACTTTTACAGAGAAATTCACAGTTCACAGTATTCTTTCCATTTCTCAATGATGAACTTGACAGTGCTCTGAGGGATAGTCAAAGTGTTTGAAATCTTCTTTGATCCTTCCCCTAATTGTAGCTTTTCAATCAGCTTTTCTCGGATTTGCTTTGAATGTTCTTCTATCTTCGTGATGAGGCTCTTGTTTGGAAATGCACTCATCTTTAAACACTTTAATTGTACACAGATGGACTGAAGACAACTGATTGCCCCAGTTCAGATAGGTGTAACTTAGCAAAAGTGGTGAATACTTATGTAATCAATTATTGTCTGTTTTTATTTGTAATTTAAAAAAAACTTTAGAGTTGTTTTTATTTATTGGACATCAAATAATATTTTGTGTTGATCAGTGGTAAGAATTCCCCCACAAAAACTTTTTTGGTGCAATAATGCAAGAAAATAAAATGTGAAAAATACCAAAGGGGGTGAATACTTTTTCTAGCCTCTGTAAGGAAAACTCTCTCAATAAAATATATTGTATTATTTTACACCTAAGTCTGTTTATATCAATGACACAAAACAGAGAAAAAAATTATGCATACTCAATTTTCTAACTAGTTTCAATGGATAAAGCAATACTGGATAATCTCATTTTATTTACAGTAAGACAAGCAACCTGTATACAAAAATAATACAGAAGATACAGAATAGCTACAGAATTATGTTAAGATTGCAAAAACAAGAAATGATAAAGAAAGATATGAATAGGTTAGAGCACAAAGAAGAGTATATCACATCACTACAGGAATGTCAATGAGTTGTACAGTATGTGTAGAAAAAACACAAAAGATCTTTGCCGGACCAAGGGAATTGTAACTTGAGACCCCAGAGACAAAAGTATATATAAAACAACCACACAAGCAGGGTGAGGATAGTTAAAATATGTCTGAGTATACTGCATGTGTATATGAGTAAAATTACTGAATAACACCATATGTTGTACTTTGTGAGAGGTTTTAACATTGCATGCCTTATCACTAGAATTACATTCTAGTTCTATGCACGTGTCACACTGAAAATACTGTTAATTCACTTGCTTTAATAATTGCTAGGACTTGCCACTTGTTAGAAAAACTGATATATTTAAAGAAGACTCCTGACTAGTTCACGCATAAAAACAACAACAACAAAAAACTACAGCGACCAACCAGACTGGCATCATGACATACCGGCAAAAGATTGCAGGTTTGAAGGCCATGTGCTCACTATATCTAGGAAGCCTTCAGTACTGGCAGAAAACTGGATGAGTGCCTGCAGGATTAGGTGTTCTGGCCTAGTAAGAGGTGCTTGCCTTGCCATGCATCATTGGCTCTTGTACTGGGCAGAAGGCATCTCCAGGACTAAGTATTCTCACTGGGACCAGTATGGGGGTGCATGTGTCTCACAGCATTATGCCTGGCTTTGCTAGTTATTTATCCCACAACAGTTCTGGGTTTCATATTGAGCTTGGTTAAAAGCAATAATTTGTTGGGGATTTTTTTGCATAAATTGTTTCAAATATTCAAAGATTCTAAACTTAATTCGTAAAAATTTAAATCTATTTTTAACTAATATTATGGGGTGGAGCAAAATCAAAAGGATCATATCATTTCTCAATCGTCTTTGCTATTAAAACTAATTGTAATAATGTGTTGTATAGTAAACATAGTACATGACCATTTAAACTTTTTTATAAGCACAGTCAAAAATCCACCTTCATATCTTGCCATTATTGATTTGAAAAAAAAAACATTTAAACTTTAAAAGATCATGTACTATCCATTTGGTCTGAATTGTACTAAAATGTACAGTAAGCCTATACTCATTTTAAGAATTACAAAAAATAAATGGTTGGTCTTAGTAGAGGATGTGAAAACTGAAACAGGTGTTATTTCTTGTTAAATAATTTGAGTAATCAAAACCTAAATTCTTTTGATTAGGCTGATTGATTGTATAGCTATAGGGAAATATAAATTGCATTAACTTCTTATTTTTTATAATAAGATGTTAACTGATGAATTTTGTAATTACTGTTGATGAATAGCAGGTGCAGGTATGAGGTGTTTTTATACTGCTAATGTGTAGGCTTCTAAGTCCTCAAGGTAGAAATTTAATCATCTTTTTACTGCATTCAGGTTCACAGCGTGTTACAGAAAGAGAAGTGCCAGTGATGCTATCTTACAATATTATATTCTTGATTAATACTGTAATATTATAATATTACAAGGGGATTATATATATATTATATACTGTGTTTTATATTTTATATAATGTAATATAAGTTGATATTCATATTCAAGCAAATAAATACTAAATCACTCTGACCACAAAACAACAACAACAAAAAAAATACAAAATATGCAAACATTACAGGAATACCAAAAACTGCAAAAAAAAAGGGTTTTGCCTTCTTTACATTGCTGCCTCATGAATGCCTTAGCTTTCACAGGTAAGTTAACTGATCTACTATATACTTTATTATAAAGTCCATTTCAATGGAAAAGGTAAATTCAGTATCAGGCTGTATTTGAAAACTTTTAACTATGCTTAACCTTCTTAAGGACCAAGTATACGTTAATGAGTAATGATTATTTAGCTACTCGATGTATCTTTTTAATTTGTTATTAGTGGAATTATCACTTTATCTTCCTAAGGTACTGCATATGACAAGATATGTTCTTGTATGACAAGTTCTTCCAGTGACACGCCACAGAGACTCTTAAACCCTTACTTCCAAACATTCTTTTTGTGTACTATCTTCTTGGGCTGCCATCCCAACTAAAAAACCCTTTTAGGGTCTGAAACTAGCCAATAACAATCCCCCAAATCCAACCCTGAATTTGTTAATGCTAATGAATTGATAACCAAGTCCTCTTCTGAGGAAGAGAAATCTCACCCTGTGTCTCTCCTTTGTTTTTTAACCAAACCTTTAAACACTCAGTAAATGTTTAACCAGTAGGAATCATAACCTTTTAAATACCTTCTAGTAGCAACAGAGTATACCTACTCTGCTGATCCTGGTTGTCAAGGGACGCTATACCATAACCTTTCTGGTGCCTCTGACACACCACAGCTACTACTGTAGTCTGCTTCTAATACACTACAGTTACCATATCTAGATGACTGATAAGGAAAACCTGCCTTATCTGGCAGACAATAACATTGCTTCCACCTAAGAGCACTGAGGGAATGAATCCCCGTAGAAAACCTACTTGACTCAAACAATAATGACAAACTGGGATGAAAATGTACGTTTTCATTTGGCAAGACCATTGTCACAAGGTAACAAGTGGTTTAATTGGAAACCAATGCCATGTTCTAACAAGAGAATAACAAATGACTTAAATCCAAAAGAAACTGTAAGGGTGAACTGCAAAGATATGTCAGAACTCCTTTGCCAGGAGTAACTACACCATGCTTACATCATGCCGGTAGAGACCTATCCAAAAACAGCAACAATTGTTGCCAAAGGGCCTCCATCAGGTAGATGTAATCATTACAGTTTGAAGAAAATAAGTTTTAAAAATATTTCTGTGCATTATTTATAATTCAACCAAATTTGACATTACTGGTAAGGGGTGAAAACAGCTGCAATGCATTATAAAAATAATATTTTCAAACATTTGCAGTATGTGTAAAAATGTAACAGTCCAAATTAATTTGAAACCACAGAAACGCAATTTAAAACGTTAATGACTTGAACTTCATCACTGTACAACAATTTACTTTTTCCAAACAGCCTAAGGATGGACCTCTCAAGTGAACAACATGCAAATGTTCTGGTACTGTAAACAGTTATAGTAGTCATGTAATAAAAAAAATGCTGTCACTAAAAAAAGCAATACCCAAGTGTACAGTATATGTACAGTACCTAACACACAAGAAGAAAATAAAAAGAAGTATATAAATTAGTTATATATTATACACAAGAAGAAACATTAAATGTTCTTTTACCATTTGTTCTACCATTTGCAATCAAAAGGCATTTCTCTGCAGAGACACTGATGAATTAAGTACATAAGACTATCATCCTTTATAAGGAGAATCTTGACAGCTTTGTGCTTCCTTCCTTGTAATAAACAAATACAAAGTCCCAAAAGAATAGATGATATAGATCTATATCAGATATTCTTTTCTGCATTTATCACAGTGCTATTGAACATCACCCAATTACATACTGGTCTGATGATCTGGTCTGAAGAACCAAAGTTTCCATGAATAAAAAAATCTATTTATAATTAAAACACAATTCTAAAGCTATCTGGGATACATACATTAAACACAAATAAAAGCAAATATTTGAAATCAATCTTAATTAGAAAATAAGCAAATTGGCAACAGCTTCCAATAACAACATAAAGGAAAAGAAGCACTGAATACAATGCTGTTCCCAACAAATTTAACAATAGCATTTGGTATTTGGTACTTTTTCTACTTGCTAGTTGTACCCATGTGTACTTTTTATCACATCTCAATCAAGCATAGATGGTCATTTTTACATCTGAAGGCAAAAATATGCCTTTTAAACCTGAAAGGCAGAAATAATTGTTTAAGATGTGAATGTACAAAGTAACTGAATTCAAATTAGTAGGAATTTTAAGTCTTGATTTTTATTCATGATTAACAACAGAAAAATGACATGTTCTTGTTATTTTTAATGTTAGTGCTTTGTGACAAGAAAGACAACAAGAAGATATTATGGAAATCAAAAATGCACTTACATCACTTCATTTGTCACTGGTGGCCAGGCCTGGAGAAGTAATATTAAGTGCTGCATCTCTTCCCATTTAATGCAGGACTCTAACAACTCCATAAATAGCTGGTATCGCTTTTCTTCATTCTCAATATCACCAACTTCCAGCTAAGGGAAAGAAAGGAATAAAAAAGCCACATTTTAGTGCAGATCAATGTATTTATACAATCTAATAATACATCATCTAATTTAACAAATTTCACATTTTTACAATGAATATTCATTTTAAAAATATGAATACATGATTTACAGTATAGTTCAACAAAATACTTTTGCAAGACATGGTATATATAGGCACCTGGACTTTGCCTGTTTCTCTGGGGCACAAAAATGAGTTAGCATATGGAATAATACATGCAGTAGAAACATGCATCATCATGTTTAAGGTCAGTGAAGTCTCTGAATACTGCATTCAAATTATCATTTACCCTAAGTTTGTCAATGGCTATAAAATAATCCAAAGAAAAGCTCAACCTACCACTTCTTACTGAAGTGTTAAGAAATCTTAGATTACTGGTATAGTGGTACCCTGCAATGAAGACAAAATAAATGTATCTTGTCCCCATGGGCTATGAGAATGCTTGGTCGGGCAACAATTTAAATTATTTAAATTGATATCCAAGTTGACAATGAAATAGTTAACTATACTAATAAATATTCACAACTGGCGATGCCAATCTCCAGATTTTAACCCAGATTAATAATTGCAGCTTGAACATAAATGGAAGCAAAAGGTTGGAAAGAACATCGATAAATTCTGCTACGATCAAAAATACCCCCTCAGAAGTCCCAAAGACAGTAAGGTTCACAAAACAATAAATACAGTGGTTTGAGTAAATGTGTTGTAGGACTTAAGTTTTTCTATGAAGATATTAGATTATAATGAAACATTTTTTGATTATTCAGCCCTTAAAGGTTTATTTTGTAAGATGTTTTGTCCCCCTTTCACAGGTAATATCAGTAAACATTGAGGGATCTTAATGTGTTCCTGAGTGCCTCCCATACAGACACATTTCTTATGTACAACAGAACCTTGAAGTGAGTAAAAACAAAGAGTTGCCTAGAAAGCTGTTTTGATCTGTCTTTTATAATCTTCTGACAATTAAGATGAACTCATAGACAGGGTTTGTAGTTATATATCTTTCTGCAAATAAATGGTGATTCCTATGAAACCTGTTAAAGTTTATTCAAATAATAAGCCTTGGGTAAACAAAATGCTGAAGAGCCTGCTGTACTGCAAGCACATACAGGGTAATGAGTTAAGAAATCAGATCTGAAGCTAGAGTAGAAACTAGAAAGGCAAAATTAAAGTATTAGGAAAAAATTAAGGTGAACTCAGTTCTAATACATTTGAGAGCTGCATAGAGCAGAATGAATTAAAACTATCCTGGGACTGAAGAACACTGAAAGTTACAGTATGTTTCAGTGATCTTAGATTTTCCTTAGCTTTAAACATGGCTTAATTCATCACATTTTGTGTGCACTTTTTAGTTAATTTCTTTACATTTTAAAATATCTGGCAAAGTTTCATAATCTTTAATTCAACAAAGCTTTCAACTTTTTAACTGTAGAAATATACAGTGTTTTCATCTGCATGTAGTCTACCCTGGCATTGTTGTTTAATTGTACTTTATTATACTACTTAACATTCAGTTCCAACATCCATTTCCTGGATTTTGATGATGGTCCTCACTTCTTTTTCCACAACCAATTTAAATTACTCTCTGCTATCAACTTGACACAGCATGAATATGTTTAAAAATGCAACATCCCGGTGTGCAAAAATACTCACAACTGGAAATCCTGCCAAAGGTTTTTCCATGAAGTACTGACTACAGGATTTTAAAACTTAAGCTATCAACATACTTAAGTTTTTTTTACATTTTTCTATGGAGTTTTTGCTAACATTTGTAATTTCACCTACAAATGCATTCAGTTTTAGGATAGCATTTTTTATTAAAAATCTATCCATCCATTTACTAATCACTTTAATACAGGGTCACCTCTAATACAGAATTGCAGGGAAACCAGAACCTATCCCAGCAAGTAACGGGCACAAGGCAGGATATATCCTAGATGGGACGCCACAGATGCACACACTCATAAAAGGGACAATTTTTGCAGAAGCCAGTTAACCTACCAGTATGTCTTTTGACATACCGGAGCACCTGGCAGAAACCGACACAAACACAGGGCAAAAATACAAACCCTATGTAGATAGCACTCTAGGTCTGGAATTAAACCTAGGGCCCCAGCATTACAAGGCAGCAAGGATAACCACTATGACACCCTTGAAAATAAAATAATCTATTAAAAAAATTGTAATTGAAAATAATGGGCCATACTGGAAGCGCGGTTGTGGTGTGGCATAAAGACCTATATATCTTTGAAGCCTCTAGAAAACTAACCGACACTTCTGCCTACCTAACTCTCCAACAGGATCATACCACTGATTACCAAAAGGAAGTGGTCTCCACCATCTCCATTCTTATCAGCAGTAAGGAACTCCCCCAAGGGCAAACAGGCTCATCATTGAACATCCGCAGGTATCTCAATTTCACCTTCTCCCGAAATCCACAAACCAGACACTCCTGGACGCCCCATTGTATCAGCATGCAACTGTCCGACTACTTGCATCTACTTACATCTACAACTTACTTACTCGACAGCCTCATGAGACCGCTGGTTGAAGGTCTTCTCTCATCTATCAAGGACACCAACCACGCGCTCCAAATTTTTAATGATTTCCAATTTCAGGGCCCCGAATGCTTCATTTTTACCATGGACATCACATCACTTTACACCGTCATACCTCATAATGACGGCCTTACAGCCCTCAAGCACATGCCGGACAAATGCACAGTGCTTGATCCACCCACCCACACCCTGGTACACCTTGCAGAATGGGACCCAGCCATGCCAATCTTTTTGTCGGCTGAGTAGAAGAACGCTTCTTCGCTTCCTACACCGGCTATGTCCCTGACCTCTACAAGCAATACATTAATGACTGGGTCGGTGCTGCCACATGATCTAACAACCAGTTTGAGCACTTTCTGCATCATTTCGCCAACTTCCATCCGTCCCTCAAATATACAGTTAACATATCTTCCACTACTCTTCCATTTCTGGACATCAACTTCTCCATTAACTACCACCGACTGTCTACTTCGGTCTATTACAAACCCACGTATTCACACAGCTATCTCCTGTATAGCTAATTTCAGCCCAAACACTAAAAACTCTCTCCCTTTTTCACAGTTCCTTCGGCTACGACAATTATGCAGCGATGACATAGATTTCTAGAACCAAGCCCTCAAAATGTACTCCTTTTTCCTCAACAGAGGATACCCTAGCAGTGTTATTGACAGGGCCCTTTCCAGAGCCAAAAACACCCCTCGGATCATCAACTCAATCAGGAACTCCCACCGTAACAACCGCATTCCTTTGGTGCTTCCCTACCACACCAGCACACTTCCTGTCCCCAGAACTATTAACGGCACCTTTTCCATCCTACAGGATGATCCCTCCATTGGGGCCCTCTTTTCTGACCGCCCCGTTATCTCATATCACCGACCACCTAATCTGTGTAACCTTCTTGTTCACAGCTCCCTTGACCGCCCTCAGCAACCATCCACACCAGGCACTTTCCCTTGCAACAGAGCTCACTGTATCACCTGCATGTACATATCTAACACCACATTCAAGGCCTCTCAGGACAATTCTGGATCACCCAGATGGCATCTTGTACCTCCGGCAAGCTTATTTACTGTATCTCTTGCAGGAAATGCCCAGCCATCTACATTGGAGAAACAAGGAGACTCGGAGACCGCTTCAGAGAACATGTCAGGGCTGTGAAGATTAAAGAGCTCTCCAACCCCATTGTTTCACATTTTACCTCTGACGGCCATGATCACACTAATCTCTCCGTCTGTGTTCTCAAAGACGGTTTTCCGAACTCAAACATCAGAAAGACTACAGAAACTAAAATTGTCCTGCAGCTAGGATCACACTTTCCCCCCCTTTTTAACGACAGACTACTTTTCTTCTAATTCGCTCTATTCACTATAGGTTTTATTTCACACCTCTCTACACCTATCCTGACTTCACAACTCCTGATTGGCCTCTCTGTTCTCTGCTCCTGCCCCTCACTCCTCCTCTCTCCCAGCTTTTGTTCTCCCGCTACATTACCTTTGCTCACTGCCCTATCTTTCTCACACCTGAAGAAGGCTCCACGGCCGAAACTTTGTGTTTTCGTTCTTCTCTTTTCACCACAGAATAAACCTATTGCTTGTTGCTTTGCAGCCTACGTATGCTGATGCAGCTACTCACCTGAACTACAACAGAATGTGAATATAGCTTTACTGGTAAAATGTTAACAGGCAGAACTCTATACAACAGTTTCTATATAATAATATTACACTTGCAACTTTTAGGGTTTCATGCATGTTAAACATTTATAATACAACTAAAAGTGGTGATTGAAAAAAAACACTTAAAACATTACATACATATTAAGCAAGATGGTCATATTAATTGAAACAATTTGATTGTCATTTTTCAATATGCAGTAAGCTTTTGAAATTAAATTAAATTATTTAACAATTTAACAAGTCAACTACACTGTTGATTTCTGTAGAGATTTCTGTTGATTTTTATTCTGTCACCAAAATAAAAAAGTCAAGTTCTCTACCAAAGGCAAGCTGTATATACTAGGCCATAGCTAAATAAAAGGAGCAGTATTTTTATAATTCATTCAATACCCAGTCAAAAAATGCTAATTGACAGTCTTGTTTTATAGAAGGAATAAATCATCAATATTGTGAATGTATAATATTCATAGACTTTCCTGGTTACTTTGGAGAAACCTTCATAATTAAAAAGATGAAAAGCTCCTTAACACCACAGTTTAGAAGGGAATATAATAAGCATGCACATTTCAAGCACACCTGTAATTAAAACAAGATACCAAGAACACCTTTCTAATAATAAACTTAGCACCAAAACACACATACTTTGTTTAGAGCCTACAGTTAAAACTTGAAGAATGTTCAAAAAGCTCACAAGTTAAAAAAAAGAGCCCTGTGATGCCATGCATGATGTAAATATGT